CCCACCCCCATGTTGCACAACAGCTGGGATGTCTGATAAAGTATCATTTATAAACAGAAGATACAAGCTGCTGTAAAAACACAGTATATGGCTTTGGATTTAAAGCAAGTTACAACTGGTAAGCAGCCAAGACCTGACCTGCTATCCGCTGCATTTTCATGCGTCTGGCCTGGATGCGGCCCTTGGCTAGTCGCTGTTTGGCGATGATGCAGCGAATATGGTCCGCAAAAATGAAGTTAGCCTGCAGGATGGGCACAGGCTTGGCGTGAGGGTTAGACGTGGGCTTGTGTATGATGATGTTCAGAGCCCTGCTGTCGTCTTCTACTCCTGAAACCTGCATGTCCTGTGAACATATGCATTAGATTAAAATCTGAAAATTTGAACGCTGGTTTCTAAGACTTCACATGCAACAATTATTTTAAAACAATTTGTTTATTCATTTGTTTGTTTTGCAGAATTCATTTTTTTTTCAAGGGATAGTTCACCCAAAAATAAAAATTATCCTATAATTTACTCACCCTAAAGCCATCCTAGGTGAATATGACTTTCTTCTTTCAGACGAATACAATCGGAGTTATAATGAAAATGTCCTGGCTCTTCCAAGCTTTATAATGGCAGTGAATGGCTGTTGAGTTTCAACAGTCCAATAGAAACCCAATAAAGTGCAAATTTTTCAAATTTAATTTTTAATTTTTTACGTTTTTGTTAATCTAATAAATAATAATAATAATAAAAAAATCTAACTTTGACAGTTAAACTTATTGCTAAGCTCTGGTATATATTATTTCTCAAGTGAATGGAAAAATGAACTCTGGTGAGAATACGCTACAGCAAAGGAAAACCAGTCTCCTCTTGGCTTACATCGAAATGTGCATACGCACTTTTTTCTTTACAAATCCTTATTTTGCACTTCTAATTCGCGACCGGAGTTTCATTTTGCTCTGTCCTCTGCGTTTCCGCGTTCGTCACTTCTCACCAGAGCTTACGCTACGCCCACGTCATCCACTGGAACGCCATTTTTCATGAACGTGCGTACGACAGTTAGCGGAAGCTAGAAATTACGGTTTGTAACGGTTTAAATATGGATATTTTTCTTACAAAAATGCATTGATTCGCTTCAGAAGGCCTTTATTAACCCCCTGGAGCCATGCGAGGCACTTTTTATGATGGATGGACGCACTTTATTGGATTTCTATTGGACTGTTGAAACTCAACAGCCATTCAATGCCATTATAAAGCTTGGAAGAGCCAGGACATTTTTTAATATAACTCTGCTTGCATTCGTTTGAAAGAAGAAAGTTATATACACTTAGGATGGATTGAGGGCGAGTAAATTATGGGGTAATTTTAATTTTTGGGTGAACTATCCCTTTAGGAATTTTTTTTTATTCTTTTTTTTTTTAATCTTTGGATTTTTCCTATAACACTTTCAGTGTCTTTTGGGAAATGTCTTCTGAGAAAACATTCCTCACAATAATAATTATTTCTGTCATCAAATAGCTGCACCTAATGTCATAACTGTTGTGCCAACAAGTAGCTCAATCACTTAAGACCAAGTCTTGCTAAAGAGAATGATTTGTAAAATGCCTAACTATGATTACTTTTGCGCAAACATGTTTCCATGTGGTAATTTACATATCCTATTAGGTTTTGCCCATGAGCCTTAAGTTGCCAGGACACTCACAGAGGGTTACGATGCAACACATTACCAATATTTACAGTATGCATTAAGCCTTAATTTTGTGTTGTGTAACATGATTGAATGGAAAGTAAAAAAAAGCAGCATCATGCATACAAGTCACATAGCATATCCATATTTGTACACAATTTTAGTCATTTGTTTGCAGAGCAAGTTACATCATTTAATTGATCTCTCTTTCAAAATCAGATTTTCTGAATTGGTTTTCGAGAGAAGCCCTTAAATACCTTCCCTTGTTACATGCAATAACTTTAAAATCTGACAGAGGACTTCACTTCTGAGCTGAACATCACAGTCCTGACAAGAATGTGGCCAAAGTGTACTTTTTTGTTTGAGCGTCATGTTTGCAGTGTAGGAGTAGAAATGAAGCAGACCTGTAAAAGGCCAGCAAACTTGACAACCCCCCAGCCAAGACGTTTTGAATCTGGTTCCACAAGACTCATCTGGTACACATCCACAGCCAGGAAGCGCTGAGCTTGAACACCATCTTTACTCACCACCATGCAAGCAATAAGATCACTGTTATCTATAAGGGAAGAATAAGGTATAATAATTTATAGGTAATTCCAAGGGTCCTTCAACAAACTTACACAAATCAGTAAAAACAAGCCATAAAGGTCAAAGTTCAGACTATGAATGGGAACACTGTGTAACCACTTCAAGCGTTCAAAACAAACCCACACAAAATTTGTACAAATACACAAGTCCAGATCTGCCCCCATGCAATACTTCATTAACAGCCTCTGATTACATGCTTCAGGAAATTTAGCATTAAAATTTCAATTCAGTCACCTAATCTATTTCCAAAGAAACAGTAGGACTTGCACAACTAAATATAGTCATGCACTTTCTATTATAAAGGGTTAAGAAAATGTCAGCGCAGGGTGAACTCAATCACATTAAAGTGTCAGTAACTGAATTAGTGTTAACCTGGCATGAAATCAAATTGTACTCAGACATGCGGGAGTTTTCAAAAACACTCCAGTGAGTCATGTCCTAAACAGTACAGTGCAGCTACTCGGGTGGGTGGAGAAGGGGGTGGGGGAAGAAGGGGAGGGGAAGGTAAGAGAGGTAAGTCATGAACGTTTAAAGTTGGTTTCAGGTAGACCCACTAAACTACTAATAACTGAAACAGCATCGTCACAGCCGAGGTACTATGACTTTGTACCAGTTTCTCTTTGTGCTCTGAACTTCCTTAGAAGTCACACTGATGGGTTGAGGAATTACTTCAGAACTAGAAGAGCGAGCGCTGCTCTTCCTTTTAACTCACAGCCAACTGTGGTGACAGAGAATTGTGCTGCCTCTGGGGAAAATGATCTGCTCTTCTACCAAGGAAAACACACTTCTATGTAGATGACGTCTGACTAGTTAAGCAGACAGCTGAGCAGAGTAGTTCTTCTTTTTATTAAAGCCACAAATACCATGATGCACACCAGCTCTGTGGAATCTTGTATCCTAAGGACAATCAGGATACATTCCACGGGTGGTTACATGTGGTTATGTTGGCTGATTCATAATGAAGTTGAATTTTAAAAAAGGAAGCAGAACAAAGAGCACTCATTTCAGGGTCTATAAATGTCAGTGTTTATGTGGAAGCTGGGTGACCCATTTAAAAATCATTCGAACGAAAATAATGAATCATTCATACCTCTGAACCAGTTTGATCAAGTCATTAAAAGGGATCTTCTCTAAAGAACTTTAGTAATCAGCATCACAAAGCAATGTCTAGCCAACAAAGTTAAAGCAAAACTTGCTTTTCCAAGATTTTTATAATAAGTAATTAACCTTCTTGATGGTGATAGTTTAAGTATTTGGTAACTATAGGGCCTTTCGCACCGCGGGAACCTTTTCATAGTACCAGAACTAATTGTGGAAACTGGACAACGATTGTAAAAATCATTTTGATTCAGAACTAATCTGAATAATCATTCAGATAAATTTGATTGAACTGTTTAATTGAAAAGAATCTTTTCAAAATTAATCACCAAACCTGTACAAATTACTTTTGTTGAACACAAGAGATGTTTTGAAGAATGTTGGTAACCAAACAGCTGATGGTAGTCATTGACACAAAAAAAACATTATGGAATGGCTACTTATCAACTGTTTGGTTATGAATATTCTTCAAAATATCTTCTTTTGTGTTCAAAAGAAGAAAGAACCTCATATAGGTTTGGAAAAACTTACGGAGTAATTAGTGACAGAATTTTAATTTAATTAAAATGTATTTGTCAGAAAAACATTACGTAAAAATTTCCTCATATTCCAGGGCCCTCATTTATCAACAGTGCGTAGAAAAGGTTCTATATTTTGTCCTACGAATGAAATTTAGAATGTGCCTAAGTACAAGAAAATCCGTATTTATCAAACGTGAGCATTCAGTTCTTACGCACATGAGTAAGCAATCATTGTAAGTAACATGCTTGTTCACATTCACAGTCATTTGCATTCGGAAACGCCTCCAATGAACCATATATGGTGACAACACCTCCCTTTATAAATCACGTGAATGTATGTGTCCTCACCGAAATCATGGCAAAGAAAGCGGTACCGACTGAGAAGCCATTCTGTGCTCTCACTCTCAGCGCAGTCTTTGAAAACGCGTTCTCTGCGGAGAGCATAGTTTGCCAAGTCTTCCAATAACGCAAGATAAGCCATTGCACCGAGACAAACATTTGTCACAGCTGTCTTTTATAGGGTTTGACACCAATTACGCAAATTGTCTGTTTAAAACCGGACAAATGATAAATTGAGTGTTTTATAATTAAAGGAAACACAGGGCATATGTGGATTGCTTAATGCATACTGTGATATTCTTAAATGCTTTTTATGTGTAGTATCGCTATTCTACCACTAGATTCTCTGCGTAAGCATGCTCAGAGGTGTGCTTATATTTACACACATTTCTACGTATAAGTACAAGTTGGTAGATCCCACACTTTGCGTGAAACTGTTCTTACGCACTCATTACGCACACATCTGTGCATACGCACTGTTAATAAATGAGGCCCCAGGTCTTACATGACCTTGGGAATCCTGAGTCAACTAAAGAATAACTCAGAAAATGTGGAAATACTGCAGGACAAATTGCTCACTATAACCCTGGGTAAGAGTAATTAAATCAGACCTTCCAAAACATACACAATTACATCCTGTGCAATTTCAAGAGAAAATGTAATATGCTTGTCTATTTTAACAAACCCTAATTAATAGAAGAGATTTCAGCTCTCAGCCAAAGTGGGGGTGGGGTGTTACATGCAAAAGTACCATGTGACTTAAGTGTTTAAGGTGAGAAACTTTTTCTGAACTTCTACAGAAAGTGGTCACATGTCATGTGTAATAATACTTATGTATATGCATGCAAAAAAGGAAACAAGAAGGGCACAAAACACATTTGAAAATGTCCTTAAAAAAAAAACAACAGCAAAAAGTGGAAAATATTTAGCAAGAATTCATTTAAGTTCACACAATGCACTGTGATGCATCTACGGTGTTGTGTGCATGCATCATTTCCTGCACGTCTAAAAATAACAGATCAGTGGCACATCAGGTTCTCAGGTCGATCTGTCTGTCTGACTGTCTCTCTCGTCATTTGAGAGCGAGGTGCTTGTTCCATCCACTTACTGATGAACCATTCTTGGATTCATATTAAAAAGGACATAAAAAGACCAATGTTATCACAAATCATGATGGTGCAAGATGAACCAACTGTAAACCGCAGTTACTGTGAAGCTGGGGGATGTACAAAAGATTTTCCAGATAGGAAAATCGGAGATGATTTTATGTGGTAAAATGCTTTGCAGGCATATAGTGGGGTCCAAAAGTCTGAAATAGGGATATTCATTTTAACCGTTTAACTGCAAAGAATTTTGACCGATCAATACAATCAGTTAAACGGTTTAAAAAGTCATTAATTATTTATTTTTTCAGTAATTTATCAAAGTATTTAAAAAGGTTTGCTGCATGGTTAAAATACGCTACGCGTATAAAAAAAATGTGTTTTTAAAGGGGAAAAACATAAGTCGCGTATAAGTCGCATTTTATTATTTCATTCAGTAATAGGCCTAATGCCGACGCGAAATGTTTAGAAATATTTCAAAATCAAATGTTTCCGTATTCGCGATGTATTTGAATGGCAAATTATTATTTATTATGTACTTCACTCACATTCCAATATCCACGTAAAACAAAATGTTTTGCATAACATTACGGTTGCATTAACAGTACTGTGATAACGCTTAACGGCACAGATTTTACAACATATTTTTTTTTACTACATAGTTTTTTTTCCCATATGTTTGACTGACTGTATTTTATTATGATAATGAACAGGCTGCATTGTCAAGGTAGCAATGCTTAACTGCGTGCGCGCATGCGGTGCCGGCGCAATCACTTGAATTTTTTCCTTCTAACAGTGGAA